GGGCGCCTTGCAGCTTAAGGTTCAGTAACTTTAGAGTGAAAAGGAAAGTTGATTTGATACTTCTCAGTTTATTAAGCAATATTTACAAAATGGGCATAGGACAAGCTAGACAAACTTAACTAACGTTATAAACAAGTAACACGAAAAAAATTACATTTTCTTGGGGTTTTGTAATCCACGAAGGAAAACACCTTCAGGTGGATTTCCCAGCTTTCGAATGTCACCAAAGCCTTGAGCAGCATAATTATTCCATGCAAAATGCCCAAGGGCCTGCGCAATAAAAACATAAAAAAGGTTATTCAAATGCACAAAATGGCATGAGGTAAGAAGACAAGACCTGAATCTTACTTTGAATGTTCGTGGTTCCCATATTGCTAAGTCAGAAAGACTGCGATTGCTAAGACAAACCTTAGAGCATTCAAGGCCTTTTCTATAAACTGCCATGTGCATTCCAATTTCTTCCGCTCCACTAAAAACACGTTGAGCATGAAGCTGGACACAGGACATAGAGACACATTAATATAATGGAAAAAATGAACTCAGGGGAGCAATAATTATTATTGATTCATTTTACCTTCATTAAATCACGACTCCTCTGCTTGCGTCCACACGCTGCATGCAGCATACTCTTATTAACACCCTGGATAGCGAGGCGCCAGCAATTCCTTCTGCGCCCAAAGAATGCCTGAAATTATAGAGGAGAGAAAAAAAAATGCAGCTGCTATGAAATTATTAAGGAAAAGAAACACAATCATACAGCACTGCAAAATGTTCATTTTGTTTTTTGGAAAGAGTTTGTTTGAACATAATATAACCTGAAAAGTTCATGGCGGACTTACAGCACTCAAACGAAAAACTTTTCTTCTTCTCCAAAACTTAGTTGGACCTGGATTGTAAATTCTATTCGGATTGAATTTAAATGACAAGACAGAAGTCCAAAACATTGTGCTTTCGTATTTCTTCAATAAACTTCAAACAAAACTTCACAGCGATATCCGCGGTGCCTTCTGCTCACTTGAAGTTTTTCATACCGGAATTCGCCTACGCCACTGTGAAGCAGGTTTCGTTTTGTATGTCAGTTGAAATGTGATGATCAGGAAAATACCAAAATATCACGGAATCTTTCATAAATCATGAAAGATGTATACTATTATGAACTCCTAGAATGTCAGTATTTGAAAGATTTTTAAGGAGGTGTATACTGCTTAAGTTACGATCTAGCAGCCTCTGAGAAGCTGCGGCTTTTAAATAACGCGGGGTCAATTTGCCACGTTTGCCACGTGACACTGTGGCGGAGCCTTGGATAAAATTCAAATTCGTCTTGATCCGATTTGGGTGCGAAAACCCCCCTCTTCCTCGCGTTCCTTTCGCTCCTTTCCCCCCTCCCTGTACGTCCGACTTTCACAAGGCAATTTTGACGGCTTCGAAATAAGTTTGACAAGTTAAAATTGGTTCGTTTCTGATCTAGTTATAAGTTGATGTGAGTATTGACAACTTGGTACACCACGTACACTATGTTTGCAAGCGTTCTAAGTACACTTATGATGTTTCCCATGAATGGTCAGTGCTGGGCTGCGGACAGAAGGTAGCATGCTCGATCGGGCATGAATGCAAGACACAATCGTTGGGATAAAAAAATTGCTTTCGACCTGGAAAGTTTACTGCCTTTTGTTGTATGTTAGCATTTCCTCACTATCATATTTTGATTTGGGAATCAACTCAAGCGTATTACCACCGGCCCATTTATTCCTTTGAGGTTAAGTCTTTCGTTTGCACTTCCTCTCCCTGTTTCATGGCAGCGTTGAGACGATGAGTGCCAGTCGAGTGAAACGAGTCCGGCCAGGTGTTTGGTACAGTGCAGGGTTGACTGGCTACCCGATGCTGTACCCGTCAAGGAAATCCGCGATGACGTCTGCTTTGTGCTGTAAAATGATTTCCTTTAAATATTTTATGTTTTCTGGTTTTAAAATATTTTTTTAAAACACTAATCAGTATCAGGGCTTTTGTAGTGAAACTATTACATTTTGATCCTAAGGGCTCTATTTAAGTAGATTTAATGAGGCATGAGGTACATTTCTTTCACAATTTTCCTGCAAATTTAGTTTTGGAGCCCTGTCTGTGATAGACCTAGGCTAGACCCCCTCACACTCAAAAGAATTTATCCACCTTTTATGTGAACTGTCTAATACATTAGTATTTATGAGAACTACAATGGTATTAATTTATATGTTTTATTATGTAACGTAAATACTATGTTCTGGATCTTAACTAATTTTTTAATCTTATGTCATCTGAAAGACTCTGAAACTTGTTAGGTCCTATTAGTTTTTCAATTTTTTTTATTTTTTCTTTCAGACATAAATCATGCCTTCAGACGCCAAAAAGAAACAACAACAAAAGAAAAAGGATCAGGCTAAAGTACGTCAAGGAGCCACCAAAAAAGCAGGTGACTCCAAACCTGAGGAAAATGGAGTTACCAAGCAAAATGGTTCAAATGGAACTGAAAAGGCACCACAGGAGATGAGTGTTGAAGGTTGTATTTCAGGCTGCTTGCTGTCAAGCATTCATGGTTTTTCTTATTATTTGCATTATATAAATTCAAAATACTTAAATTGCAGAGGTACTGTGTGCTAAACTGGAAGCTGACGCCCGTTTGAATGCTGAGGCAAGATCTTGCACTGGAGGCTTGGCTGTACATCCTCGGAGTAGGGATGTTAAGATAGATAATTTTTCAATCACTTTCCATGGCTGTGAGCTTATTCATGATACACTTTTGGAGTTGTCATGTGGACGTCGCTATGGACTTTTAGGTCTTAATGGCAGTGGTAAGATTTGTGAAACTTGTAAGATATGTTAGTAGTTTAGTTTTTCTGCGTACTTACCACATGACCTCTTCATTTAGGAAAATCCACTCTACTTGCTGTCCTGGGAAATCGAGAAGTTCCTATTCCTGAGCATATAGATATTTTCCACCTTTCTCGGGAGATGCCTGCTTCTGATAAAACAGCTTTACAGTGTGTGATGGAAGTAGATGAAGAACGAGTACGTCTTGAGAAGATGGCTGAACAACTTGTTGCTAATGAGGATGACGGTATTTCTTTTTGTTTTCTATCTCTCTTGTTCTTTCTTTCTTTGACTTTTAAACTGAATTTATTCATTATGATTGAGAATTCTCCATATCCTTGCCATTTTGCAGAGTCTCAAGAACAGCTGATGGATATTTATGAACGTCTCGATGACATGAGTGCTGACACAGCACAAGCTAGAGCAGCACACATTCTTCATGGTCTTGGTTTTACAAATGAGATGCAAAATAAGAAGACAAAAGATTTCTCTGGTTAGTACTTTCCATTTCTTTTGTTGAACAGATGCATTTTTATAATTAAACCTCTTTGCTTGCGAAATTCATATTCATGTTCGTAAAATCTTAAACATTAACATTTTTTACCGATCTAGAGGAATAAGAAAGTAGAAAATTTTGTAGTATTACTTCATAGTTATTGGTGTGTATTTTAGGTGGATGGCGCATGCGTATTGCATTGGCCAGAGCTCTGTATGTTAAGCCTCATTTACTATTGCTGGATGAGCCAACCAATCATTTGGATTTGGATGCTTGTGTGTGGTTGGAGGAAGAACTAAAAACGTGAGTAGCTATTTTGCCTTACATCACTTGGTCATTTCCAGCAAACTTATTTTCATTTTATTTCCTTTAGGTACAAGCGGATTCTGGTTATTATCTCACACTCCCAAGATTTTCTGAATGGTATATGCACAAACATTATGCACCTAGATAAAAGGAAACTGAAATATTACACTGTAAGTTCCCCCCTCATAATTCCTGTATATTTGAGATTTTGGTATTATTCCTTTGAAAGCCTTATCAAGTGATATTTTTCCTTCAAGGGTAATTATGAGGCATTTGTACGAACCCGCATGGAGCTTTTGGAGAATCAGATGAAGCAGTATAACTGGGAGCAAGATCAGATTGCCCATATGAAGGTATGACTGGGTCTATTTGTTGTTTTTTTTACATCATTGGTGCAGTACATACTTTATAAGTACTTTTACTCCACAGAGTTTTGGATTAGTTAGTGCTTATTTTAACTTTTTTTCTTGCTATTTTTTGTTTCTAGAACTACATTGCTCGTTTTGGTCATGGTAGTGCTAAACTGGCTAGACAGGCTCAGAGTAAAGAGAAGACACTTGCTAAGATGGTTGCTTCTGGCCTTACTGAGAAAGTAACTTCTGACAAAGTTCTCAACTTTTATTTCCCATCTTGTGGTACAATTCCACCTCCAGTTATCATGGTTCAGAATGTTAGCTTCAGGTATACTGACACATCAAATTTCATCTACAAGAACCTTGAATTTGGGATTGACTTGGATACCCGGCTAGCTCTTGTTGGTCCAAATGGTGCTGGAAAGAGTACATTGTTGAAACTTCTGTATGGAGATGTAAGTTGATCCAAAATAACAATTCAGTTAAAAAAACATTCTTATGAAAAATACTAACTTTTTCAAATTGATATTTTGATTGCAGCTGATACCCACTGAAGGAATGATCCGCAAAAATTCTCACTTGCGTATTGCTCGTTACCATCAGCATTTACATGAATTATTAGATTTGGATCTTTCTCCATTGGAATACATGATGAAATCCTTCCCTGAAATAAAAGAAAGGGAAGAGATGCGAAAAATTATTGGTCGATATGGACTCACAGGACGTCAACAGGTTAGTTGAAACAGCAACAAAGTACCCTACTTGTTTTTCTGTTTTTAAAATCTATTAAAAATAA